ACCGGGTAACCGATCTCGGATAAAAATTGTACTCAATGTTCATACGATGCATAATATTGTCCGTGAATGATCGCATTTGAACACATAGCGCGTTGTTTTTAATAAATACGCAGTGCGTTTTCGTTAGCAACGACGTCTATTTTTGTGACACGAACCTAAGGAAACGCATCGAGTCTCTGGAAACGCGTTACGTTGTGCACTCGCACGTCGTACATTATCATGTACATTACGTTTCACCGAAAAACACGTCTTCGTCATTTTTGCGTTATCTACTCCGAACGTTGCTTATCTGTTAATGTTCAATTTCTTTACATGGGCAGCATATTGAATGCATTATGCCGGACTATTTTCTGCTTTTTACAACAATTTCCCTATAGAACATACATTTGTATTAATAATTATATTTTCTACCGAAAATCGTTACGGAAAAATCCTCCGAAATTCGTATTAAAATATTGTCTTCCGTTTTCTTAAGTTAAAAAGAATATTATATCTGTGGGGACCCCAGAAAGCGTCTACAGCGAACGTGGTGTCGTGACTTTTTTGCTGACTATCACCAAAACACACCCTGAAATACCAAAAGTGGTTGGCCTCTTCGCTCTCGTTTACCGTCTCGATACTTGTAAACCGTTAACTTCTTTCACTCGTGTTTATTGTAAATATAATTTCACAGGTTGTATAATACTTAAATAAAAAAATAAAAAATTGTAATAAACCGAATTGGTTCTTCTTTCCGGACCAATGCAACACAAACAACGCCACATCATTGTGGCATTCGAATAAACTCTACATTTCAACAATGTACTCCGTTCGTTTTTGTGGTCCGCTATTTAATATACATGCATTTTTTTTCGGAAGAATTAGATTAGACATTCTCTGTTTGGTAAATATTATAATTGAAAAAACCAGGTTAGGATTTATTGTGCTACGAGTGCCTGGAAAAATTATAAAAATATACATATTGTTCAAATATTGGAATTAACAGAGAAATTGTTAAAAAAAAAACACCGTTTCATTGTACATAATCATTGAAAGAAATACCGTTGTATAATCAACGCGATAACACTATTACATTTAAACAAATTAAATATGATAAATTATTGTCATACCAACAAAAACAATTGTGAATTCATACAAATATTTTATCAACAGGAAAATAAAAAAAAAAACTAGTTAATTCTCAATGAAAACCAAACTCCAAGTTCATTTCAAAATGCAACCTAACTAACAAACTCTAGCTTAATCAATAAAATACAATGTAAACACAAACTAAGTATTTATTGTAAATATGAATAATGTTTATATTAAATTCCTGTACATTTATTGGCTAATAACCTAAGATGTTGAAGCCAGTAAATTCATAGTGAATGACTTTCAGTTAAAAAATACTTATTACAATAAATATCAAAAAATAATATCATAGCAACAATACATTATGTTACTTTTCGATTAATGTCCTCCGAAGGCCGGTGGCTAGTAAATAAAAATTCTGTTGTCGTTCACTGGCGTACATTGTAATCTTTCGCGGGGGGGAGGGGGTTTAGAAAATTAGGAAAATTAGTTTCCTAATAATCTAACTTGTATTAATAAGTAGGTAATCATAATTAATAAAAACAAATAAAAATCTTTACAAAGTTGATGGCAGTTAATTATTATCATTATACTATTAATACTATTTAACCTACACATTTAGGTGAAGATTTGTAACAAAAATGTCATGCTCCTTTTTTATTATTTGAAAATTCAACCAGCACTTCATTGGGGTTAATGAAAAACTGTTGTTTAATGACAGCATAGCCAGGCCGTGTTAATCTCGCATTAGTTATTTTCATCGTTGATAAAATATACTACATATCTGTGTACGGTGTACAGAATTATAATTGTTATTTTAAGATCTCGTTGAATAATTTATAGTAAAGCAGGTAGGTAGTTCAAAATGATAGAAGTATAAAATGATTGCAAATTTTTACGATCAGAATTGATAACCATTTGAGCATTTTACAGTAAACAAGAAGGTAATATAATGGAGACGGGTGCAGCCACTGTTGGAAGTTGGGAAAGTAGGGTATAGACGGGAATTTAATGTATATCTGTAAACAACGATAAACCATTGCTTACGAAAAAACGATTCTGAGCGGAGTTCAGTTGATAGTGATGCTTTGTCAACAATATATACATCATTTTGTAGCAAAATAATTAATGAGGCCATATTTATTTTCTTAAATAAAATATGTTTAATGTTGTACCAATTTTCCCGTTTTTTTACGATTTTCCGATTTTCCCACGTTTTAGCCAGCTTTTTCACATTTTATGGAAAAACTCTTAGGAAAATCAAAAAAGGCCTCTTTAATGTATCCCCTAGTGAAATTTCCTTTTACAAATATTGCTATCATTAAAAGTTGGAGCAAAATTACAGATAGAACATTTGTCCAGTGAAAGAAAAATTGTAAGATTATATTAATTATATTTCGTAAATTTTCCCGTTTTTTTTTGGTTTTTTGGCAATTGATAAGAATTCGTGAGTAAATCGAAAAATGACTTAGAGTATTTCCCTAAGCCGATTTCCTTTCTGAAAAGTAGCTACACGTAAAAATCTGAGTAAGAATTTGGTAGAAAAGTTGCGTAAAGATTAAAAAATCAACAAATAAACATCTTTGTAAAACTATAAGCTCATTCGCATCACTCGGAATCTAAAACTCTACAAAACACTAAAAATTGTATAATTAAAATTGAATTAGATTATTATTTACTATATTTATTTACTTCAAGTTCTACAGAGTGAAAATAAAAATTCTACAAGAAAGCTTACTACGATGTATACGATGTGGACTGTTTTTTGAAAGGAAATATTCTTGGGTTGTTATTTTAAGTAGGTGGTTTTAAGATTTTCCTAGGAGTTTTTTCATTAAATGTGAAAAACCGAATAAAACGGAGGAAAACGGAAAAATGTACGAAATATATTAATATAATAAATCTAACTGGGGAGGTATCTTTTAAGGAGGTCTTTTTTTTCTCCCGCGAGTTTTCTCAACAGATGGGAAAAAACGGGAAAATTTACGAAATGTAGGTATTAAATGAAAAATATTTCGGTCTTTTTTTTTCCTGTGAACAATTTTTATTCATCTTTCATTAAAATGAATAAATTATATAACTTAACAGACATGGCACTTTTATCCGAGACGATACAACATAAATAACACCAAACGTCGCGCGTCGGCCGGTCCGCAATACATTTTAACATTACTCCTTTAGTTTTTGCGGTCCGCTACTTAATATACACAAACGTTAAGTGTGTTTCGAACACCCGGCAAACTTGTATAATTATTATACTTGTTCAAAATTATGCACTTTGTAATATACAATATTTTTACAACGAAAAAAAAAAATAAACAGATTGGATGACGTATTGTCTTACGTAATTAGTGATCATCATTAATTTTTCCCATTTTTTTTTATTTTTTAATATTTAAATTTGTATTTATGAATTAATTAACTCGAGCGTACATTCCTTGTAACTGTATAGTATGTGCGATAATCGTCAGGTATTATATTGTCCAAACACTCTAAACCGTCGGACAATTTTAAATCGTAACGCATTTATTACCATGTGTTTATCTTGGCAGCTACCTATATGGTTTGTGAACGGTTACATTCCCCAATAAAAAAAACCATTATTGTTATTATTATTATTTAAAGTCGTTGTTTTCGCCAGTGACATAACATGTACAGCCTTTCGTATGAAGACGTTTTTTGAATTACCTGCAGTTATTATTTTTCAATGCCGGTCGGATTCAAAACGATACGCTGCGGTGAGCGTTCGTATCCAAACGATAATATCCGACCGGCCGTTTCGTTACAGACGATTTTCAGCTAGAAATAAATACGAGTATTATCCATATAATTGTTTTATTTCGACAAAAAAAAAAAACCGTTAGTGTGATTATATGTTTTCGTTGCAACGGCGTTATGTGATCCACAATGGTAGGTACATACCTTGCAGCTAAATGGTATTGAAATAAACTGCAGCAATAGTTGTAGTGTTACCTATTATTATAACTTTCTCTCTTGTTCTGATATCGTTCAAAACACCGTTGAATTCATAAATATTTCCTGAATTCTATTTCCTTAAGCGCCACAGCGGTGTCACTGCAGGCATTTTCTGTCTTTGTCTTTCAAACTGAAAATATTGTGAAAACGTGACGATGATGATTTTCACGCAAAGAAAACGAAAAGGCCTTCAAAATCGGTTTTAAAGAAAAAAAAAACAACTATCATGTATTTTGTAAATGATAAACTTATTTTGACGACAATCTCGTTGGCGTTACAATAATTCTCGAAACACTTAATTCATTATAAAAAGTACGAAAAATTCGTAATTTTTAAATAGTTAATATTTCAAATAACGTCAATTAGATTGTCGTCAAAATGCAATCATCTACACAAATTGGCTCTCTAAAACTGATTTTAAGAGTCTTTAAGTTTGTTTTACGCGAGTACTTTTTTCCTATACATTATATTTTCCATTAGAAATAGATGGCTAATTTTACTGTGATGGTCCGAAACTATTGATAATTAATCCCATTATCATTGCAATCATGAAATTCAGTATTTCATAATCTATAGTTTAAAATTTGTCATATGCATTTGTTAATGGAAAAGTCACTATAACTTTCCCCCCTTAAAATTATCAACTTTCGAGTCATCCTGAGGCTTGGAAAAAGTGCATATACGTGGATGGTGGTCCATAAACGGCCGGCAATCAATTTTAATATTTTATTACTGTTGTTTTTTTTTGAAAATCGCTTAAAATATCAGATGGATAATCTGACGGTTGAAAACCGAGGTGACGAAAATGAATACATAGGTGGTGGTGAAAATCGATCGACGACTGTTACCGTTGGCAACAACTGTCAACAGTTCAAAACAAAAGGTTCAGTCGGGCGGCCGCGACCCGATCCCGCTATTATTCGTTTCCATGTTTCCAAATACAATTGCTGACACGATGTACGACGAAGAAATCGACGTCAGGGATGCCGAGGAAGTGGATGATAGCGAGTCGACGGAAAGCAGCATCGACAACGATAGCAGCCGAGATCTTCGAACGCCCAGTGCCAAACAACGGAAACTTTTGGTAAGCAACCTAATATTTCCTTTGCTGATCATTGACTTGAATAGAGAGGAGTTTGAGTTTTTAGCCCCCCAAAACTTGACCCCCCCCCAAAAAAAGATCAAAATCAAGTAAATACTTGATGTCTGCAGTCTCCTTAGTCACAATAATGGGGGCTAAACAAAATATATTTAGACTATTCGCGTTTATGCAGCAGCTTGTTGTGACCTAAAACTCTCGAATCTGCAAGTCATAGTAACAGTATAACAATGATGGTTTCACGGTTGATTACAGATGTCGAGCAGCGGTTCGGGCAGAAGGTCCAGGTCTAGACTCCGGGCCGTTGACCACGTTCATCACGACGACGAACATCCCGATGGGCCAGAGCTACGTAAGGAAGAGGACGACCCGGATAACTATGACGTGCACGAAGCTCAAAGGTCTTATAAATAACACCAATAATATCGGCTGATTATATTAAAATGGACTCGTGGGTGTAGGAAAGAAATATGTTCGCGGTGGAGAGATGGGCAATTTATTTTAATTAATACTCCATCTATTTATGGACTTTTTAATATAGTTTGCCATTTGAAAATCAAAAGGAAGTAGTGGATTCACCCCCAAAAAGGTGACGAAAAATATTATAATTATAAAATTGCAGAGCTGCTTGTGAAATCAACATGTTAATAAGGTGGGTACTTGGGAGGGTTATTTTCTATAAACTGAATCCAAATCAGTAGTCATCTGTAGAACTAAACTCTTATAATCGGAGAGGTGAAGGAGACAGCAGAATATAACGGAGCTTGTTGTAAATCTGTAATTTCCATTAAATTGAAATATCTTTTTATTTATTCTAAGGTTATTTTACGTATCGTAACGAAATAATATACCTACTCGTAATATAGTTAACATTGAAACTGACGACTTAACTAAACTGCACTGTGATACATTATGTTATTATTATATTAACGATGAACGAGAAACCTATGGAAACTAAATAAAAAATATATAAATATCGCGTTTGGAAAAAAAAAAAAAAAAAACCTTATATAATTATGCCTACGGAACATATTTTAATTTTCCGTTTGAATTATTACATAAATACGATATATTGACATTTTTTTTTCGGCGTTTTCGGCCGAGCAATAGCCGATGGACATTCGAACGCAACCGAACGGGGTCCGTTTACTATACGATTTGACGAAAAAAATAAGATAAAAAAAAAAAAAACACGTTGATCGTGGCCAGTTTGTAATGACATACATATGTACAATATTATGATTATTATTATTATTATTTTTTTTAACATACACTTTTAGTGCGGAATATCGCATCTCATACCGTCCGAAGGTTTAGAATAACAGTATTATAGGTCAGCGGTTACTGACCTTATTGGGCCACGACCCAAATTAGTAGAGAGCTTTTTTACGGCGTGGGGCACGAAACGAACTAAACTCAAAAAGGTTGTTGTTGTATAGATTTTTTGTGGGTGGGGAAGGTGGGAGGGAGGTCTGACTATCAATTAATTTTAATGAATAATTTGGGAGTTGAAAAAAAAAGTCAAACTTCTGTAGTAATAATTACCCGGAGAAATTATTTCGAAATGGGTTGGTGGGTTTAACCCTTAAAAACTCTTCTCTTACCTACGCCTCTGATTAAATTCAAGCATATTTACGAGGTCGCGTGTTAAGCGAAGGATCTCATTTGTACAGGTTTATTTTACTTAATCATTTGGACTAAATGTTAGTGTCATTATAATTTAGTTTCAATAATGGTATGTTAATGAAATATGAAAACAGTATACGTTTGAAATTTTTACGGATTATTTTTGATAGTCCTCGCGAAAAATTAAATTTAAAACGTCACGACCGTAAAAAAAAAAAAGTCTGAAACCATTGCGGGTGTACTATTTATACCTACGTAAAAATAATAAACAGGGCGAAAAAAACATGCGCTTTGTGACGTGGCATTATTATTGGAATATAAATATGAATAAAACATCGGTTGAACTTCGTAGGTATATACGAGTGAAAACAATCCGATCGTTTCCCAACGACACATCAGAGAGCGTTACAATAATATATAATTATTATGCACTTATATGCTCCGCCAACCAATTGTCGAAAAGGTGTATACGAATAATAACAATTATGATAATGATTTGGATAACAAGTTTATAATAAAAAATAATAATATATATACGTGTAAAACATTCTTCGTCGGATTTTACGAATTGTTCAAGGGGGGGAAAAAAAAAATTATATTTTTCGTATTATTTTTAATTATTTTTGTTATTCGATTTCTCGAATTTTCGTGAATGTGATACGCTTGTACATACATGTTTTATTCCATTTCTATTCGGTCAAAACATGGACAAAATATATATTGTAATGCCAAAAATAATTGTATAATGCCTTAAAAGGATAACAAAATATTTTACATCAAATAATGACAAAGAGATCATTCATTAGTTGTAAGCAGCTATAATTTTAAACTTCCTATCTATCTTAATATCTTACACGCCATTGATTTCCACACATTTTATCAGTCATATTATAATAAACGAATCATTTTGCGTTGTCTGCAATAATATTATTTTGAATATTTTTATGTTTTTCTGTATTTTGCAGGGATTATAACAAAGAAGTCGATTTTTTACACTTACCTCAGGACGTCAAAGAAGTGTTTAAATACATACAAATGTAAGTAAACGCCTGTCGTACAAAATCGGGTCGTATTATAAATTGAGAAATTATTCACTTCAGTATCACCTATATATTTTATCGGATTATTAATAATGTTAAATATTTAAAAAAGAAAACAACACCCGTTAGCAACTGATACATATACTGATACAAGCCGACTTTGTTCGCACCTGTTTTGAATTATAGAAATATTACCTAAAGATATAACTATAACACTTATAATTCCATGTATACATACAATGTCATCCTCCGGGTTCATTAGGGTTGTCTCTAGCAAAAACCGTGCTTCGAGGGGGCAAAAGGAGCAAGTGTCCCCCAAGTCGCCAAAGGAAGGAGGTGCCTAAAACTGTAAATTGTGGTTACAATAGTTAGAGAAAAAAGAAAACTAAAAGGAAACTTATCAAAAATACAGTCTGAAATGAGTCAAATAGTTTATTGACTTGTAGAGGTTAGCACGGCACTTTATGCAGGAGTGTTCAAAATTGAAAAACAACATGGTGAAATTTATATTTTACTATTTTAACTGTAGAGTGTTTTAATTTATTCAACTTGACAAATCGAATTATATATTTCCATGAACTTAGTCGCGTTTGACTAATATACAAAATGTATACTTTTTTCATAAGTTCAAAAGCATACTTATAGTGAGCGTTGATAACTGATGTATGTAAATAGAATTTACCGACGATAACTGCATGTGGTTTTAAGCAATTTTTCGACTCGATTTTACCACTTCAAAAAATAGATACACTAATCACACACAATATTCTACGACTTAGTATACTTATAACCCGGATGAATCCACATATACACGGCAGGTACTATCCCCAGAAGACGAAACTCGAGTTTAGGCTGTCACCGTTCATCCCGGACTACTTGCCGGCCGTCGGTGATGCGGACGCGTTCATCAAAGTGGTGGCTCCCGATCCATCTTTACAAGCGGGTCTGGGCCTGGAATACTTAGACGAACCCGGGATAAACCAGAGTGACCCGTGTTTGCTCAACCTGCAGCTTCGGGCTTCTTCGTCGTCGTCGTCAAAATCACTGGTAAAAATACGATTTTCTTCCCCTCCGTCTCTTTTCATATAGACTATTTCCGATACAAGGATCGACCTCTTCGGTCCTAAATCTCTGCATATTTTCTACATAAATTCCTCAAGAGTATTGACATCACACGTGTCCACCTCAGTTTACAATATTCTTTCTCGTTTCGTCGACTATCGAATACAGGACATTCTTTTAAGAAGATTTTTAGTGTCCAATTGGACACACATCCAAGTCTATGTATCCAAGTCTATATCCATGTCTATATCCAAGTCTGGGTATCCACCAGACGAGTAAAATTCTTCTAACTGTGTATTCACTAAAAATTAAATGGCAAATTATTGAATATGTAGACTTTGTAACTAAAATATTTTATTTTATACGGGAAATATTCTAATTGGTGTGGTGAGGGGAAGTAGTTGAGAAAAACTCAAAAGTCAAAGGGACGGTAAGGTATGTCTGCTCGTGGAGATTTTTTAAAGAAAAGGGAGTGGACACAAAGTAGTGATACTGAAAAATATATTAATCGTCTGTAAGATAATATAATATTACGACGGTTTGGTTAGGTGGTGAAGAAATTGGAAGACGCCGAAAAAAATCCAAAAGTGGTGGAACAGTGGATACGGGACATTAATGAATTGAACCGCGGCAAGGCTTCTACTTTTTTCTATTCCAGGTATGCACGCGTATACCGATATTAATTATTATTAGGTTTCGCGTGCCATTTTATAAATTATTAATTAATTTCAACAATAATATGCGTATAATTTAACAGGAAAATGCCGGACGTGGAAATGATAAAGAAACCGTGGACGACCGGCGAACAGCGGACCAAAAAAATTCCAGATTTCGAAAACGACAATTTATTGACTGTGATCGATGACGTTTGTGGTTCGTATTACCGTTTTATATTTTACTGATGATTTTTCTTAAAACACGTTCGCCGAAAATGTCATAATTCAAAAGTGTCCGGGGTCAAAATAGCCGAAATTCAAACTATGTCGCATTAACAGATGACAATACGTCTGCAGTGATCTGCATTATTTTCGGACTTGTAAAAGATAGTTTTAAAACGCGTGTATTTCATACGAGAGTACAAATACTATAATAAATTATGATAATAATATTATTTTGACAAATACTTAGACTACGTATTTGATTATTTCACTAAAAAAAAATATTTGAATACGAAAAGCATAGGTGTAAATAAAGTCTGAAAATGCACAAGCCTTGTACCTATTAAGTTTTAGACCAAATATTAAAGACTAAAATTACTGTTAATTTTTTGTTTGTACATTATAAGTACAAGTTAAAATTTAGAAATGATTTAACCTTAAATTAAAGACAGAAGATAATTTAAAATATTTCGAAAGTATTAAAATAAGTATTTGATTTAAAATACAAATATTTAAAGGACAATAGCATGTAAAGTTTCCAAAATATTGTATTTACAATACACCTATTCGAATATTGAAAAATTATTTGAATATTTTGTTTTCGAATAGGTATTTTATAATTTTTAATTTATTAATCTTGATGTGTTTCTCTTAACATAGTTGTTATAGGGTTTTTTTTTTAATGTGAAACATAATATGTTATTATTAAAATAATGTGTACGACACGAACGGTTCCAGGAAGTGTATATATTGAATCCATCCGAGTTAGTCTCAAACCAAAACGTAACCGAGTCGGTTTTAGAAGTTTTACAAAACATAATCTAATTGTTCGTCCAAATCTGATATTAAATAAATACTGCGAGGAAATCAGGGCACATGGAAAAACTTAACCTACTTGTTGTTTCAAACCTGATAATGGTAGCTCGGAGGAAGTTAACGATACGAACAAATTTAAAATGCAATTGATCATAGTTTCGAGACATCACGCGTTCCATCGTACACGATTTCGTGGAAATCTATACCGAGATTTTAACGGTTGTGGGGGAAAAAAAAATAAATCACGGTTGGGTTTCTATTTCTATAATAACAGAAGGAACGTAACAACACGCGCCGTCGATGTCGTTCCCCAGGTAAACATATAAAAACGACCAGCTAGCGAGGTTTTATTTTTTTTTTTGTTTTCGTTTTTATTTTGTTTTCACGGTCATCGCGAACCGCTGTACATCTCGTATCCACGGCCTTGTGACTGCATGTCGACATTTTACAGGGTGATTTTTTATTACACTGTTTTTTTTATCACGGCTCGGCGATTATCCATAAAGATTTCAGTTGCAATTGATTTTGGTTTTTTTTTCAATCATTATACAAAGAACGGATTTAAATATTTAAATATTTTAGAATCCGCGTGATGGAGTATAGGGGATAAACATTTGAAAATAATGTCTAAAAGATTCAAAACCAATATTTTCTTTGTTTGTTTAACACACTCGTAGCATAGCAATTTAGACCGATTTCCTGGCCATTAGAAAAAGTCAAGCTACTTTTTCAACTTAGATTTTAATTTGAATACGTTTTTAAAAATGTCTACAATTTCATTTCAAATTTTCGGAAATCTATAACTGATATTTAAAAAAGTTGTCGTGTACACTTCACGATGAATTTAAATATTTTTCGGAATACTTACATAACTTTACGACATCGATCGGCCTGGATGACAGAAAATTGTTGTAAATATTTATTTTACGATTATTTTTTAATAAACGACTAAAAACAAAAGAAATAAAAAACCAAAATCAATTGTACTCAACATTTTCGTAGACAATTTCTGGACACAAAAGACCATTTGGTATACTTACACGCGTTACATTCGCGCACGTCCGAATGTTTCAGATTACTTTGGGATTCCAAAGACTGACACCAAAGTCGAATCGCTCCACCTGCTGTTCTCCGTCTACGTGATTGCCAGAAACTCCTCTGCCCAAAACACCACCACCGTGCTGCCGCCTCAGCGACCGCCGTCCGACGATACCTCGTTGCGCAGCGACGACGCCGACAACGATCACAACGACGACGACAACGATGACAACGACGACAACGATGACAACGACGACGGTTAGGTTAAAATGGAAACGGTGTTACAATATAATAATTAAAACACAACACGCACCGGTCCGATATTGTACACAGATAGGCGTTCTATTATTCGTATTATATCTAATAGGACGAAGATAAAAAAAAAATCGGCAATTTATCAATAAAAACACGTTTTTCATTGCCAATTGTATAAGCGACTAAGTGCTAAAACTGTAAAAGTGTACCAAATATATACGGTACACGATATGTATACGGTTTCAAAGAGGTTATAATATGATTAATGTGGCTCAATAATGTTTGTAATTTATTTGTTATAATACGTTTTGCCTGTTCTATTTCGAATAAATATGAGTAATGCTAATTACGATTTCAAATAAAAAACGTATCCAGATGACTCGATTACTTATCTCGAATAACGTATAATCTAGACAAGTTAAAAGATAAAAACATAATTACAAACCCGTTTACAGTGGGCTACCCCGTACCGGCGAGCCCTGTCGACGTTTCAAATCAATAGCCCCCACTTCCCAGCCCCTTGAAAATAGATTCTGGCTGCGTCACCGCCTGTCCAAGTAACGTGTCTACGCGAATAAAACCCGACGCTGCACCGCGCGACGACAGTATTATTTTTACACCGTCGAAATAACGACACGATAATAATGATATGGCCTACCGTGATATTGTAATAATGTAAAATGTCCCCTTAACCCGCCGGCCGCTGTTACGGCCCAGAGATCTGATAAAATATTGTATTACTAAAAAAATCGCATTGTTGCCGTTATAACGTTACGCCGTGTTATTATTTTACATCACCGCCGCAACGCAGTTTCCACGGTTCGCAACAGTTTCCTGCGAACACAGCGTTTAAAGGGCTTTTCGCGGAATGTCATAACGGTTTTCTCAGAAATTCGACACGATCAACTTACCGGGAAAGAAGACGGGCCAGACTCTTTTAGTGCGGACCTCCGTACTCTGTACTCCGCACCAACACGTATTTAGAGTTTTAACGCCTTTGGTAAAAACGGCCCTCTTCAACGGCGACGAAAAAAAAAAAAAAAATTAAATCTATAACAAAATGGAAGTTAATTATTACCACAGCGCGGATTTCTATGTAAAACCGTGTTTTTTTTTTTTTTGTTTTTTTTTTTTAATGGATTTTACGAACAACCATTTGAGCAAGACGTGTCAACGATCCACAGTACAAAGAATCTGAATGCGAAATTGTATTTCGCGTCTAAGTGCGTACTCGGATGTTAAGAGAATACATTGTATTCGTATAAAATCGTTTTTGTTTTTTTTCCATATTTGAATAATAATTTTAGAGAATATTAAAATCAAACATTCAAAATTTTAAGAGAATATAAGCGTCATATTTTGACTATTTTAAGGGAATTTAAATACGCGGTCTAGTTATCATTATGTTACAATATTATAATTCGCGCAGAGTTTATTTCACCCTGAATCCAGTGACGTAGCCAGAACGCAGGACATAGCGCCCCTGGCTATAATCCCTCCTTTCGAAATGTCTTCGAAATTTTTTTTAATTGAAATAGTACGAGCTGAAAAATGTTCGTAAATTGACCTTTTCGTCGAATTTTCCTCGAAATTACAGACTGTACGCGAGTGCATAGCCGAACAAATCATTAAGTAGGTACACAATGAACACTGTCCATTGTGACCCTTCCGCGCGCACAAAGAAAGATATTCAAGCAGCCACTAGAGACGTAAATAACGTGGCCCGAAATCCTGCCAAAAGTTTATAATCAACCTGACAAAACACTCTTTTGTAGTACGCGTCTGATGGGTACAAGAAAATTATACATTTATAATTTTTCCGCTACTTTTAGCGATCTCCTCTGGACCGAATGAGCTCAGACTCAGAAATTATAATTTATATCTATAGGGTTGTTTTCTAAGTGAATTGAGCCATTGAAGTGTTGAAAGTGGGATTTAATAATGTTGTTGCAGGAAGAGGGTATTGTTTTTAACGTTGAATACAACACCCCTACAGACCCAAATGAAGTCGGGTGGAATGAAACTTTGTATATTAATCACGGCAATACACTCAATGATCTACTTTTTGGGAGTTTCAATCTTTAACTTTCGCCCTTACAATTTTAAATTCCGAGTGGTGCGGGGAACGTTGTATTGGTTTTTTACAATGTGTATTTCAAATTAACATCTCCTACCTGAAATATTTTTCTGGTCACGCGCCGCTGAGTCTGAGTTTATGTATTATTTCGGTATAATGCACACCTCGATGGTTACATCCGATTCACTGTGGAGTGTTGCCAAATTGTTAAGACGATCGTCCTAGGCGGTCATCCTATAGATGTTACGTACGTTTTAACCCCGATTATAGCGCAGACTCTTATGCAGTTGTAGTGCGATTCGAAGCTGATTAACAGAAGATCATACTACGCGCTATGCCGACGTACGGGTTGGTATTTTGTGCCGTCGTCATGTCGTAAATCGCGAATCGTTTAACGTATTTCTGTAGCGATACGTATTTTTCATATTTTTTTTTTTTCTTTCGAAAATGTTCGAATTGACACTCCGAAACAAATCGCACGTTCATTTGATAAAGTCAACAGTAAATCATTAGGATAATAATTATTCGCGCTTATAGACACGTTCGCGCCGCGCGGATTGGCCGCTGTTGCGGGCGCGCGGAGTAACAACGTGTGATGTGCAGTACGCGCCGCCGCTGTGAAAAAAACGGTAGGCGCGAAACGTCTCGAGAGCGGCAAAAAATGGCAAACACGCGCGCCTTTATTGTTCTGCCGCGGCGGCCCGGAAATCGGACGGGACGCGCGAAGGCTGCGCCAAAGGATTTCGGTGACACGTCCGTTCTGTAGGAGACCGCCCCCGCCGCCGCCGCGTCCGAGCGGATCGGATTTCAACCCTTACGGCGGGACACGCCCCCCGTCGTCGGAACGCGACGCCGACGCCGCGCGCGACCGCGGCGCGCCGCGGGCCCAGTCCCTTTGGACCCGCACTTACGCGAGCACACGCTGGACAGCGCCGCCGCCGCCGCAGTCGTCTCATCGCCGCCGTCGTCATGACCGAATCCGGAGCGGCCGTCGCGGCGGTCCGCAGCAGGCCGCTGTCGCCCAGAAAGTTTTTCGCCATGTTGTACGAGACGGACGCCCGTGAGACGGGCGCGCAGACCGATGCCGTTCGCCACCGTCCGGCGCAGCCGCCGCGGCCGCCGATCCCGGTCCCGACCTCGGCCGCCGACCCCGTTTGTCCCAGACAGCTGCAGCAGGCCGTCGTCGTCGTCCGGCCCGTCGTCGCGCACGTCGAACACACGTTCGCTGCCGGTCTGACCGCTTTCCGTGAGTATACAGTACCGACACGCACACGTATTGGACCCTCCTAAAAGAAGAGCTGAAATGCTGGGAACGGGTATGCCAGGTGGGAAGTTGGGAATGCCGAATAAATAAAGTCGTTTGATTTATGTGTGTGCGCAACGATAAACCATTGCCAACGAAATACGGTTCCAAAGGAAGACCGATTATGCATGTAATGTTATAATTCCGTACTTTTTACGATTTATGACAAAATTGGATCCGGTTGTACAAAAACATCAGATGGGTCTGATTATATCCAATAAAATGCAATAAAAGAAGTGTCTTGGTATTTTTCGATTGGAATGAGATTCCGGTAGAAAACTTGTTAACTTGTTTTCAAAGAAATATACTTAAGCTACACTCGACCGTGTACCTACGTTTAAATATTTGATGTCTACCTACCTACCCACATGAATACCTATAGCTTCATCAATTCGAAAAACGATATACTTGTTCCCGATTCGATACATGTTATATTTTATTTAGGTATTTAATGTGAGCGTGGGGTGGGGGGATAGTTTAGATAATTTCGTCTAGATGAAAAAAAAAATGGTTCAATTGTGTAGCCCAACACGATGTGACGTGTGACTAAAACGTTTATTACACGTTAAATATAAAAGATATGTTATAATTATTATTTGAGTAATCCCCTTTCTTTTTCCTTCTCCGTTCGTCCCGTGATCGTTAAAAGTTGTGAAACGCACTCGTAAAACGATGTCTGGCCAAGTGGCCATTAATATTATAGACGGGATACGAATACACGATTATCGGAAGATTTAAGACCGTATACCCATGTGAACAATGTACTGTCGAGGTTAAATATTTAGAGATAAAAAAATCCGCAGGTTTATCCGCAAGGATCCTATGTCGCGAGAGTATAAACGTTTATAGGATCATATTTTCGAAGACGCGGCGTGTGCGAAAACTCGTATAATTTATTGTGCTCTTTAAATGTGTACAAGACACGAAACGATTGATCGTAAAAATCGTCCATTATTTCCCTGTATCCTCCACTACTTCTATTCTTAGTCCAGTGGTTCTTAACCTTTTTCGAATGAGGGAACAACTTAACTTTTACTGTGCGGAACACAGCCGTAAAATACACAGCATATTTTCATTTCATAATATGCTAAAGAGTCCATACGTACACATACTTCACAGTTTACATACTGGTCAACTGTTTCTTTGTCTTAGAAATTGATAAAAGTCAGAACCATATGACCATAAAACTAAATATTTCGTTTACTTAGTGAATTTTTTTCCTACTGATTTTTAAATTCCGGCGGAACGTTTACTCTAAGTTCACCGAACACCGGTTAAAAACCGTTGCCTTGGTCTAATGGTTACACTATTTACACATCCTCTTTTTACTCGGCCTGCTTACTTTAACGCGATTTACCAAACTGCCAACGGGTTTTTTACCAACCATTTGAAATAAAAACGGTTATTATTACAATATAGATTTCTAATCTTTAAATTACACACTATATTTTCGACTTTGCCGATATTCAACACACGTTTTATAATATTGCCGGTCGAAATACGTATAATCGGCACAAGCCGTTATACCGTATGGGTACTGCAGATCTCCGAGATATTGTATTGTTCTGGAAAATTCAAATTTCGTACTGTATGAAAGTCTGCAGATCGCGTACAAAGAAAAAAGAAAAAAAAACTATTTCGAACATTTTTTACGCGTACGAAAAATTCGTTTCCGTTTATTTTACCGAAATAATTGGTTTTTAAACAGAAATGTATGAAAAAAAATGTTAAGAACTATAATTTGACCTATCGTTTTGTTTACTTATAATATAATACCAAGGATGGAGAACGTTTTTATTTTTTTCGTTTTTGTTTATTAACATAAAATATATAATTTTCTTTTTGCCTTTTTAAACTTATTTATAACAATATCTATTTAAGAGTATCAATATGACGACATTTTTTTTCTGTGGACAACTTTTCTACCAGTAATTTTGATCCAACATTTAATGATAGCAATGTTTCTAAATTATAATTTCACTAGAGAGGTACTATACAGAGTTCATTCATCGATTTCTCAGGCATTTTCTTATCAAATGTTAAAAACCGACGTACAACATGGCAAAACCGGAAAACGTAGGAAAACAGGGAAAAAACTAAGGTATAAAATTAAACAAATACTATTAAAGAAAATACATAAAGCCTATTTAATTATTTTAATACGAAATGACATATATATTGTTGAACAAAGCATCACTATCAACTGAATTCCGCTCAGAATCGTTTTTTTCGTAAACAATGGTTAATCGTTGCTTACATAGGTATACATTAAATTATCTATAACAGTGTTTTCACCATTATCCTAAGACGTCATTTCGTTATCGTTTTTTTTTTTTTTTTATTAAATTTTTTTTGTTTAATAACGCTATTAAAAATATTTCCCGTCCCTGCTGTACGTACTTATAGTTATATTAATTCGATTTTTTTTTGTTTGAAAACCGACCGAATAATAGCATATTATATTTTTTTATTTAATATGTCGTTACGTAATCGATTTATAAACGATTCTGTGTTGAACGTACGCGAAGAAAAATATTTATAATACCTGCCTTTCTAAATCATAATATTATATATTATTTATCTATACCCATGCTAAAATAATAATGTGACATTTTTCTGGTATATAATTTGCTGTACATCGATAACATGACGCTTTCTAAAAAAATATATCAGTATGATTAAATAATAATTGTGAGTAAGTATATATGTACTGAATAAACCCATCATAGTTTGCTTTCCGCAATAAATTATCAGCGAGATATCAATAAAAAAAAAATTAAAACCGTACTTCGTGGAAAGTTGGAAAGATACATGCTGTAAGATACAGAGTAGTTATTATTTAGTTTGTATACTAAAATCAACGATATGTTATCGTGATCGAAAAACGATCCTGAATGGAGCTCGGTAAACATACTCATTTACACAGTATTATAGTCGTGTTTTCTCATCTTGTAGCTAATAGGTTATAGCCGAGCTTGGATTTTCCTTTTTAGGAAAACTATCGGGAATCTAGAAAAATGGTTTTAGATAAGTACTACCGGTCGGAAATTAGGCATCTTTCACGACACCAGCTACTGCGTGAAAAAATCTGAGCATTTTTACTTGTGATTGGCACAACTGCATAATTACTATCGAACGATTCGATAAATTAAAAACTGTACAGTTAATATAGTTAACGATTCGGTCATTTCTAACGGACGAGCCGTTTATATTCGGGTATGGAAAATCTAGGCACCTATTCATATAGTTTTTATTCGGTTATAAGAAATAATGTTGGAACGTTTTTCGAAATATTCCATAGTTTTTCCGAATAAAATTATTCGGCCATGATAAAAAAAAATACATTCTAATGATATGTTTGATAGTTCATCAAAACTATCGACACTATAAACTAGGTATCAGAAGTGCTTATCACCAATTTTTAATAATCGAAAAAATTGTTTTCCGAAAAAAAAAATACACACACAAGTAACTCATAGATTCTTCCCTACATTCTGAAATCTAAAATTCAAAAACGCATTTTCAACATCCGAACGCTATAATATATTTACGAAACTTTTTGGTTAACGTTCGTACTTCACTAAATGGCTGATCATAGCGTCAGAATTTGTATTTGACTTACGGTCAATGGAAAATTGTACGTTTCTGTTTTCATGCACAATGTATATTTATACTTCGGAATCATGAAAAAAACCATGACGTAGTAATATAGCTAGGTATGTAGCTATAACACCATAACATAATACCATGACAAAATAAATTGGTATATATTATTATCACAATATTGTGTCACGTTTTCGTTCGGTTTGCGCATCTCTCCCACTCCCGGTTCACGTGGTAGTTTTCCACTATACTATTGGCAATGTTAATGATACTCAATTAAACATGGATAACTACTTTAATGTATGATGTGAAGAAATATTTGAGTTGAGCATGCGTATGAAAAACCTGTTATCATACCTGTCTATTTTGTCATGCCTAATACATGGTCGAGTCGCACAAACTATTTGATGTATCCAGTCGAGCGTTATAAATCAGTGTTACCATAAAGTATAGCCTATAATGATTTTGTTTTATAACTTACGTAAATTATCAATATGCACGTACTAAAGGTATAAACCGAAAAAAAAAAAAAAAAACCATTGTTTCTGAATTTTTATTCTCAATTATTCTGACCGTATTGCGCGGTGGGCAAGGCTATTTACAAATATTCGCAATTATAATATCGCAAGTGTTTCGAGTTTGATAAAATTCAATCCAATCAAAAGGATTTTTAATTTTATAAATACCATGCTTCTGCTTTATGAATATTATGTGGAACTTTGATAGAATTGTTTAGGGGGGGGGGAAGCTGACGTTTGTGAAATTTTTTAAGCAGACGATTGACGAAGACTAGTGTGGAAGGGGTACCGAGGACATTGTTATTTAAGAAAGTCGTTGAGACAGTGGAGCTGGAAATCTGACGACGGAGAAAAATCGCAGAGAATGACCGGTTAGGTGGCAGGTTTTGTAATTAGTAGTATAGTCTTAAGGACCGTAGCCAATTTTCAGAAGAAGAGAAGACTTTGTAAAAATACGTAGAACGTGCGGACGACTTCCCTCAAGCACTTTTTACCCTTCCTCTAACCTTGATTTTCCTAGTACTCATTGAAATAACAATAACGATTAAATATAACTTACATACTTTAATTTATAAGTTCATATATTACAGATTTAGGAAGAGGGCTAACAGTAATCTGTGCTTCAACCAAACCTGGTGAATAAGTCGTGCGTGGTTAGTGGTGTAATTAGAAATTATAATCATCAAATAGTGCGAGTAAATAAATAATACATAATTAATAACAATCTATTGCCCACTAATTTGTTCATAAAAAGATTGGATGGTGGATAAGTAGTATGTTTAGATAATTGTTTGGTCGTACACACACAAAAAAAAAAAAAAAAATGTAATCTACATGTCATTGGAAACTAAGACCGCTAAGTTATTGCTTCTTTAATCTACTTTACACGGGCTCTCCGTACTCTATATGCATATTATCGTTATTATTTTACTTCACGCGGTAAACATAAATATGAAATCTGAAAATCTAAAAATGTTATGTCCATGCTCATACCATTCTTCCCTAACCTCCCCCCCCCGACGCTCTCGGTTGTGAAATACTTTCCAAGATTCCGCTAACACAATATTCTGTATCGTACATTATTCTCTATGCACCTAGGAAGGTAATTAAAACGTTTATCGATTTTCCGTGACGACTAAACGCATTTCTTGTATAACGGTGTAAATACGAATAATGGTACTTTATTATGTTTGAAAATATAAACGGTTACGTGAAAATAAATAACATAATACTAGCAATAATATAATGATAATATACGACCGTGTCGGTTTTTATAATAGTTTTTTTTTTTTTTTTAACGTTCCGATGATGACCCAAACAAATAAATTAATAATTATACGAAATATCTTCAGGATTTGAGTCCTGGAAATACACCCTGCAGTATTGCGAGACATTGAAAGCCGTCGTAAACCGTCGTGTATGCATATTATACGAACGCGGTAAAATATTATACAATGTACCATACATATTATATTTTACGTTTTAATTTCCGTAATATTTTCAATTTCCTAATACCCACTAGCATAGTTGTCTGTCTTTATAAGTTCCATTTACGTCTTGCACTGTCTTTCTAACTGGCATTATATCAATAAACGAAAACGTCTATAAAATAATACCCTTTTTCATACGATAATTTATAGATGACAATATTTTAAAGAGACCACTTCGGTGGTTTTTTTTTAAATATTAACTATTAAAAAAAAGCACAGTTATTTAAACAAATAGTTATGTAAAATTTTGTTAAAATAAGCATATTCCTCGCGATATACTCGACTTTTAAAAACAGGTTGTACGTGATAATATATTGTACGTTACACGATAATTATGTATTACAATATATAATAATATTACAAAATACAAAAAAATAATAATATGTATTTATTATTATGATGTTACCAAAATGACATCACAATTATTTCATTTGGTATTGAATAAAATGGGCATTTTTTTTTTTAATTTGCCCTTTGTCTCAATGACCGTTTCAAATACAACGGTCGTAAAAATATTTATTATTTATCGAAAACGTGTTTTGGTGAAAACCATTTTCTCCCTTCATACATAACCAAAATTGATAAATGAAGGAGGTACCATTTTTATTTAAGATTAAGTTCCCCGTTTCTGATGAATCGTTAATCCACAATTACATATTGTATTTACTCTTTGGTTTTTGTGGCTGAATTTTCACGACAGTAAGAACATAACTAAAATCCATTACTAGGGAGATGTAACTCCGTTATTTTTTGTATATTTTCGTCATTGTTTAGTTTATTTTTAAAATATAAAGTATCCGCTTGGGCGCATTATAATAATATAATAATATGGAAACTATATTAACACTCATTTAATAAAACAAAATTGTATACTTTCTAAACATTTTGTATAACAATAAATACAGGAACGACGTACAATAAATTTATTTTAGTTATCTATAGTTGATTATAAAACAAATATGCGAAATAACTATTAAATAATGTACTTTCATAACTGTGAAAATAACATTTATGTAAAATTATACAAGAATTTAGATCGCATTCAAATAGATACGTGAAATCAATTAATTCGACTATAGAGTATTATCGAATACAGGACAATTACCTATGCAATTACACGGGTAATTAAAATTATTATAAAATCCATCTTACGGGTACAACATGTGTATAATTTATAATGTATACAAATAATTCGATTTTGATTTATCTATTTAAATAATATCTATTCCGAATAAAGTAAAAACAATAATTGTTAGGTATTCCATAAAATAGATCCAAAGTTATTGTGATTAACATAGAACCGTTTATAAAAATGACGAATATGTTGTAGGTATACAATTTGGGAAGATAGGATAAAGAGGGGAATTCAATGTATGTAACGACTAATCATTGTTAACGAAAATGTCTTTCAGAAAAGAGTCTACGCTTAATACATCTGAACAAGATTTCTGGTAGATATTTTGTACACAGTAGGTATAAAATATAAAAAAAAAAAATAAAAACCAGTACATTCCCCGCTTCGCTCTGAATCTAAAATTATTTTTACAACAAGGTCCGGGTGAGTTATTAGGTATATTTTGTTTTTACGGATTGCGGGTACGAAAGTATTCTTTAGTCTCAAAACATTATCATAAATTATTGTGTTTTTGAAGGTCCGTGTAAATAAATGACAGGTTAAGGTTTTTAAAAATGTTTTTGGTTTATCGGTTTCCGAGCAACTAAAGATCTGTAATGTAAATAATTTTCCATACTATACGGATAGTTAACCATTTTGTTCTTATAATGTTATATGTATATTATTTCAGTTTTGCAAACGTTTTGTCTATACGAATAATCGAAATAAATAACATAGCAAAAAATAACCATAAAAATAAAGTATCTATGGATACTAAACAGAAATATGATAATATCGCGACAATAATACTATACACGCCGTATTTTCAAATAATGTATAATATTTATATGCATATACATATATTATACATATGTACTGCGGATAAAATTTCGCGGAATGTAATATAATATTAATTTAAATTTTTTAAAAAAATTCATCTTGCCCGCTTGAATATTCCACCATATTCCAATTATTTATCAACATGTTTTATTAAAAAAAAAAAATAATAAAAACGCGATTTAAATATATTATTTAGTTATGTGGGCGCAGGAACAATATTTTTAGCCATCCAAACATTTCAAACATATTCTGTAATTATTGATATGGTGCAATAATCATTCTACTCGGGGAAAAAGAAATGTATTTTCCCTTTAAATATATTAAGGTACGTTCATCGAACCGCAATAATAATCGTTAGCATAATTTCCACTTAAGTAATAATTATATTAGGAAACATTTTTAAACGTCTGAATTTGTTGATGCACACGTGATACATGAATGGCAATTTCACGATAGCAGTTAATTCATTTTTCGATAAAAAATAAAAAATAAATAAATAAAAACATTTTAATCATTAAACTGAGAATAAAAGTAGACATGGACATATTATGATGACATCCCTATTACACTCCTCAAATTCATTACACAAATTAATAAACCAATATACTAAAGGGCAAAGTTCAATTGTCAGATTTGTTGTACGTGGGCAAAAAATGTTTAGTTAAAGAAACAATCTCTTAAAAAAATGTTAAATTGAATTTGTGTAGACATTTGATTAGCATAATATAATATCTTTGAACAAATGAATAACAATCGAACGTTTATTCGTAACAAATTAAATTTTAAAAACATTTTTTGAAATATTCACAGAATACTTATATTCCAGGATATAGACGTGGTAAAATTTTAAAAACATTTTGTCTATTTTTCGCAAACGTATAGCTATTTGAAATTGTCGAGTTTTTATTAGGTTCCCTACTACGTGGATAAAATTGTTTTGACCCCCATGAAAATGCTCAAAAATTCGAAACGTTAGAAACACCGGACAATACTGTAATTTATTGAATGGTTAAACAACCAATGCGATTTACAATTTAACGTATCCAACTGAATGTGTTAAAATACTAACGCCTTCATTATATACATAAATATATAATTATTATGCAACCTATTAGTTATTAAGATATAGCAAAAGTATATTATACGAATACCTGTCGTAATTACCGCCGATTATAGCAATTATTTCGTCTAGTCTCATTTGATGTATTGTATTTGATTTTTTAATTTGCATTCATTTCGTTTACTCTTTTCGATTTCATATATTATTCATAATATAGACAGACATGACAGACAGTGCCGAGTTTCTGCAGTAAAGTTAATAGCTATATTTATCTTGGCACCTATACTATAAAATGTAAAAACAGTACGCGTACGTAATATAATATTTAAAATCAGTCTATCCTTCTTTTCCAATTATAAAAGAAAAAAAAAAAACACGAAAGAGATCATTATGAGCCGTTTAATCGCGTACGCGTAATCATATTTCCATATATTTTTCATCGCGAAACTCGTTACGCCCATCTAAAAGTAAAATATAAATGTTGTATTATAATACATTATAATATTACATATTTCTTCTAAAATGTAATACACTACCCACACATATTATAAATAATAATTATATAAATCAATCATCCTCAGTGTACACATTAAAATATTTTTCAAACACGTAGGTACACGTCCAGGGTTATGTACTGAAAATTAGGACGTACAAATGTGCAATGGAAAAAAACCCGAACGTTTGTCAGTTAGACAGGACTTATAGACGAAGTAAAATTTATTATATTTCGTCAAACTTTGACGAATGATTTGAGCGATATTAATAAACGGCATGAAAATTTAACATAGATCCAGGGTGGAATATGTATGTATTTTAAATATGTGACAATGGTGTAGTTATGGTAGGGTTGATGGTGTTAGATTCATCTTAGAATTTATTTTTTTTTATGTTATGCATATTACTGTACCTATATACAATCGAAAATCGATTTTGTTGGGGTAGTATTAGACGGGTGTTTTCTTTTATACCCAAGGTAATCCAATAATCAACAAAAATAAAACCTATGTATCGAAATTTGTTGTCAGTTGTACATTGTTTTTTTTTTTTAGAAAAACTGCAGAGAATCTTGAAATGTTTTTCAAATAACGTACCATTGGGTAAAAGCGAAAATTTCCAAATTGATCTGGAAAGCTAAAACCCGTAATTTTTAATATACATTTTGTTACGGCCGCTTACAACGCTTACACCCAGACAATTGAACAATTGACGCTTACACCTCAAAATCTTCAATCGCATCAATTCCTTGACGGTAGCTCATAGTACTTTACTCTAAGTTTGAAATGTCGATTGCTCGTCTCTGGTGAAATTTATATTATTATAACAATATTTTAGTACGGTTTTCGTTTTATAGCGGTCGTTTTACGTAGGCATTTCATTTCTAAGGTTTACTGAGGTTTTCGGGGTATATGGATACCTACCTGCCCATAGATTTTTAACGATTTCGTATAAGGTATAATCGCACTATTATATGTACATATATTATACTTATTAAAGATATATAAACATATCTAATATACCATAATGTAACGACCATTGCAAGTATACCACCTTATGTCGTCTAAAGTTTCTCAAATCACATCTTATAATTATTATTATATACGACGATGGAATACGATACCCGTCGGAAGTCGTATAGGTTAGGCCCTATAATAGCTAACTGGCGTATTATAATCATTATTATATTACAAGTCATAACACTACAACAATAAATTAACAACCCTCCGCGTGCTTATACTCACGTACTTATTTACTTTCTTATTTACTATTATACTTACTGAGTATTTATACTTGGTCACCGAATATTATAATATATTTCGTAGGTTTCCTATAATCGACTGCACCTACGTGGCAGGGTTACCAACTATTAAACTGAGTAATCAGAATGCCGAAATCAATGACTTTTTTTTTGTCTTATAATACATTTTGTATAAATATACCAGTATATTATTATAATTTAAATAATTTAATGAAAATCGTGTAAATAATAGATAATAAAAAAAAGGTAGGTCAAACGGAGGAAATATATCTCCTTAATCTTTCCTCATAAATACGCCACTAATTGCAATAAATTAAAGGCTGTCATCGAGGTTGACTTTGTTATCTCTCTCTGAAAATGTATAGCAAAAATGTGGTCACGTAAAACAAAGGAAATGATTATTAATATTTTAGAATCGTCGAAAATAAGAGATTATTAACGGAACAACAGTTTCTGTTAAAATCGATTATGTGTTTTAGATTCTGAGCGGAGCGATGAATGCATTGTTCTTACAGTGATGGTTATTTTTTTTTTCTGTAAAATTGTTCAGCAATTTCGCTCCGATTTTCAAGTATAGCACTTTTTCTGAAAGGAAATTTGACTGAAATGGTACTTTAAAGGAGGTCGTTTTTTTTATTTTTCGAGGAGTTTCCATAATAAATGGGAAAAACTGGTAAAAAATATGGGAAAAAACGTAGAAAGAACGTTTTGTAAATATAATGTTTTAAATTTTTTGTTTTTTTTGTGTTTTGTTTTGTTTTGATTTAGTTAAAAATATTTGTAGAGGCCTGAGATTTGGACAGAAAAATTATATTCGCCACTTCTAGACGTGGACGATTTTCAAAACCTTGTAGCCATTTTCGAGCTATTTATAGGCATTTTAATTTTACGGGGTTTTTTTTTTTTACGTAATTTTTGTCCGGTAAACACCGGATAGTAGTTTACAATCCAATGAGAACAATTCAAACACAATGTATTACAAAAATAAATTTAATATACAAGTAGTACTTTTTAGACGTGGGACCATTTTCCAAATATTCTAGCGTTTTTTTGAGTTATTTTTTGCGCAACACAACTTCTGGCTCCACCTATGATCAACAATTTTGCATAATATAAAAATTGTTTTAAACAGTCGAAAGGAGACGGCGGAAAGAAGGCCGAGCCCCACGTCGACAAAGGACGACGTTCAGTCCGGAACAAACGCTGAGCCTGGAAATGGAATACAGGAACAACGAGTACGTGTCGCGAAACAGACGGTCGGAATTGTCTAGCGCATTGGATCTGTCGGAAACACAGGTGAAAATTTGGTTTCAAAATCGCCGGGCAAAAGACAAGCGATTAGAAAAAACTCACTATGACCAACAAATCAGGTATCTACACACACATCATCATGAAAAAAAAATCGCAATTATTCGTTTTCAAATGTATAGGTAGAATAGATAGTATTATTATAATTATAAAAATAATTTAATTTAATACATTATCCGAAATCATATTATAATACAGTAATTTACGTATGAAATATTCATAAACGTACATCCTGTTACAATCTACGAACTGTAATTTTGTATTTTTATACTTATACATAATAATTTATATGTAGGTACTAATGAGTTATAAGTAATAAATATTTATCGACAGATAATTCCGACTTGGCAACACATAATCGTGGAATTATAATATTGTATAACAGCCATATCAGTTATAATAGGTATATACTATATAGTATTTAATAATTATTAGAAAAAAAAAATTTAGTTAACGCGAATAAATTGTTAAATGTTGCATTTTGGAATAAACAACCACTATTACAAAGAAAAAAAAAAAAATGTGAATAGGTACTTGCGGCAAGATTATAATTTATATACGTGTCTTAATACTATTTTATTATGTAAGAAATATATTTTAGTTAAAATATATTCTTATATTTTATAAAGAATAGTAAAATCTCGTAAATGTTATAGTATGTTTACCTGGTTTTTTTTTTTTTTAAATTTATAATTAAATATTATCTATATAATATAGGCACCTGCCGTGTTCTCAATCTTAAAACGAATTTTTAATTTCGCATATTATTACATTATAATTTATTAGCATGCACCTTCCAAAACTATAAATACAACTACCTACCATCAATGATGACTCGGCTGTAATACTTAAACATTACCAGTGCGAATAAAATTTTCAAATCATTCTGACAAACACATAAAATTATAGACAGTAAAAAAAAAAAAAAACAAATGCATATTAAAAACATAGGCAACCCATACAGAATACAAAGATCTTAATACGCATCGACGTTCCATTATGGAGAAGAAGAGATAAAATATACCCTCCATTAAAATACCATCTCTGGACGAGGGTATTTTGAGGTTGTGTTTAAATTTTTTTGAACAAATTATAAGTTGTAAAACAATAACTTAACGTTAAAATAAAAAATGTCTAATCTTCTTAATTACTTTTAAACCATAGGTACTGTACACCAATTAAGAAATTATCTTAGTTTGAACATAACCTTAACATATCCATAACTAGAAAGAAGCAAGTAGATAACAGCATATAAAATAATCTTTCTCACTTAGGTAAATTTTCCAAATACCAAGCAATTTCGTATACGTATAGTGGCCTATTGATTTTTATCTCTGCATAAAACATATTTTTCGTTTAGTTTAAGTTCGGTTCGTTCAGTTTTCACAACCTTTTATTATTCATCGTATTTGTATTACTCTCGCCGATTAACTTCAAACGTCGATATAACTAACCAAGTATATTATCTTGTTTTTCTTCATTTAGCACTTAATATTATACCTACTCTCTTCGCTCTTGTATTCTACTACTTTTATTTAAGTCTTCTTACACAACATTAATCCATTCGCCTTTTCCTAGACCGACCTCGATGTCTCTAGGTTTCCAATAATCAGATCAGTTGCTCTGCGTGATGTTTTATCCTCGCTTCTTCGCATCACCATTGCATTTTATGTCCTCGTATGGAGCTTATGACCGACGCCATTATTTCTTCTTGTGGCTCTTTGTTTTTTTTTTAATCCTTCTCGTTCGGTCACGGTACAACGTAAAATAACGTAAAGTTGTGAAATTGCATCCGCTTCACATCTATATAATGATATAAAGGACAACTACAGATTTATCGTAACGACATCGTGCGTAACATTCACTCAAAATATTATCCGTACCTGATAACAAACGAACAATATAATAATAATAATGTAAATATGTGTAACACGCGTCGTCGGAAAAGAATATTATAATACGAACCAGGAGAAACTCGACGTGTATACCACCTATGCATAACAATAATATCATTTACGAACGGAAAAATGCTCGGCCGAGGAATGGCAGGGATAGGTATTCGCGTATATTGTTATTATGATTTCGAATTTCCACGTCTTGTTCGCCTGTATACCCAGTGCCTTGTGTTCCCGCGGGATTTTTCTCCACCTATATCTACTTCCGTATAAACACGAGAACCGCAACACAATAAGTTGTCGGGCTTAAAGCCGATTCCGTTCCGCGTATTTTACCCCGGTCCGGTTGCTAAAGCACCGTGCGAAAGTTAGTCAGATGTCGCGATATTATATTATATTTTATTCGCATTATTTTTATTGTTATTCCGGTGTCTTTCCGGACCTTCCCCGCCCGCGACTTGGTCGGATTGTCGACGCCGGGCGTTTCATTCTCTCCGCGAGAATCGCTACGACTCTCCGCCGCATCGACGACCGCGGATCCTACGACGGCGATCACTATGATGATAATAATAATAATAATAATCAAATCATTCGGTAAAGTGCGCGCCGCCGGCAACAGCTGCTATGCGTCCTGTTCAACAATAATAATAATTACGACGACAATATAATATCACACACTATATATACTATATACATTATACAGAGTGATCTATTTATCAAGAACCAGCGATTTACTCGGTGGATTTTAATAGGACATTACACGTGCGTTCGATGTATCTGTCTTACAAACGCGCGATGTAGCAAATTTACTTTCAGCGGAACCAATTTTTTACTTTTAGTTTTAATACTAAAACGGATTGATCAACCGTCAAACTTAAAAATTAAACGGATATACTTCGCACGATGGGTGGACCACTGTTGTAGAAGTGAAGTTGTTAAGAAAGGATAAAGAGGAAGAATTTAATGTGTATCTGTACAAACGGTTACGAAGAATGATTCTGAGCGGTGCTCGGTTGTACATGTTTTGAAAGTTCGTAATATTTACGATTTGAAAATAATAAATTTCGTAAATTTTGCTGTTTTTCCAACGTTGTTTCTTATTTAATATGAAAACCCCTGGAAAACCAAAAAATAACCTCCCTAAAGTACTACTCCAGTCAGACTTCCTTCAGAAAAAATGCTATACTTGAAAAAAAATTCTGTTAGAAAAGTTATTCACAGAAATAAAATAAACATCATTGTAAAACTAATATATTCCTCGCTCTGCTCAGAATGTAAAATATGTATATTATTTGTATATATACATTGTTTTTTTCCAATATTCAAATTTTCAAGCGAGATATATAAGCATTTTTAAATTGTGATATTTTACACTAACAGTCCAAAATTAGTTCTGCTGAACGGAAATCCAAAATACTGGATGATTTTTTTCATCATAAATCGGCATTTTTTTTGGAAGATTTTAAGTGAATTTATTTTCTGTTTTTTTTTTTTTTTAATCATTATAAAATCAATTAATTTAATTTGTATAACTATTCTTAATGTTTATCCCTACTCTATTTCCTTAAACAAGTATATGGATTTGTTTTTCAAATAGGAACCACCCTTTTTGATTACATATTCGAATAGAGAATATTTGTCTAGAAATTTGAATATGCATAACACTAATATCAGATTTACCGTGTCTGAATTATATACTTTAAGGTTTAGTCCGGAGTAGTAGAGAAGGGTAAATTGCATATTAATTTATACATTACTATACTTAAAGCCTTTAAAGTACATACTTATACAGCTTAAATTAGGACAAATTTTTAATTTCTATACCATTCTAAACACAAATTGATGTTGATAATATTTTTCAACAATTACTTGTATCGGATTTTCTGTTTATTATACAGTTTTAAACCTAACCGGAGGAGCAGGGAGTGGTTTAATAAACTTCATATCCATGTCTAGATGATAAATCAATATAACTAAAACTTGGAATGTACGAGTAATGTCACAAAATATCTTAAAAAAACAAAACATGGTCTTATGACCGGAAAATTAAAAATAATGCACCTATATAAAATGTATAGTCAACATTCACTTAAAATCCCCCGAAAAAATCGTTGGTTCGTGATGATGAATGAATCACTCTGTATTATATTATTAATATTGTTTTGTCATCAAAACCACTGCTGACGTGATTATTATCGTTTACGTTTCGTTTCGTTTTTTTTTTTCTATTGTTTCAGGCAGATGTTCCATCAAAATGGATTCGTTTTGCCGAAGATTTAACGTCGCGCGAACGCTTACCGCCCGGGGTACCTACGGAAGAAACGACGGCGAACGACGGTGATGTCGGAAACTTGTTCAAAACAGCAGCTGCAGCCGGAGACACGATAATTATTATTAGTACTTACGCAATAATAATGTAAACACGTTCTATTGTATTATTATTAATAATATTTGTATTGTTGTCGACTTATCGTTATTGCGGTGGTCGTCTGTGTTGGTGAAATACGAAAACGGGGAGATTTCCCAAACGCGTCCCGAATTGTTCCTTGTGCTTCCGAGAAAATATCCATCCCAAATTTAAAATGGTTTTATTGTAATTGTTACTATTAATGCGTGTAGCTCGTGTGCGTCCCAGTTCATTTTTAAAGCATTATCCAGGGTGCATAACAAAAAAGCCAGCTGGACTATATTAGCTCTCCCCCTCCTCCCCGAAGACTTAGTCGCTCTTGTGTTTTTATTTTCAATAATTTTGTTAATTTCATAGGTACGCTAATTTGTTAGTTTATCCTTATACATTTCGTTCGATTATTGGTAACTATAAGTACTGATACTATAATAAAGTGTTATTACTGTATTTGTTTCTCTTTAATGCTAGAGTCTTAATATTATGTTAATACCCGGCAGTTTCAATCATCTCTCCTACGAATGTCTTCTCCTCTTATTCTTCCTTTGCGTCTTATTATGTATGTGTCGCATACGTTTTCCGCTTCTTGGTCTAATGGTAAATAGCAATACACTCTTCTCCTATAATGTTTTATAGAATTTCTACATTCCTCTTCCTTTCGGTCCAACTAATACGAAGTAGGTAATTTTTTCGGAGTCCAAAATTCCAATTGCTTCATATTTTTTTCCCCCTTTTTTATTCATTTAGTATTTTTTAACTCGCGTCTATATAATAATACCTTTAAAATATCCGGGATGCAAGACATTGCTTGTCCCCGTTCCGATAACCGGACACGCAACGGTGTTTCGCGCGAAATCCGTCCGCGACAAAAGCCGTTTTTTTTTTTTTTTTCGCGCGCCCGAGATCTCTCTCCGCCGCAGATTCGTAGTGACAAAACAATAATAATAATAATAATGCGTTTAAATTTTTTTTTTTTTTTCTCAACCATTCGAAACCGTATTTTATACATAACGTAACGAGATACGACGACGTTTATACTCTCGTATACCTAACATATATTTATATAGTACCATATTATCATTATTGTCATTATTATTATTATTATTATTATTGTAATTGGCGGCGATTTAAATGCTTGTCGTTTCGCTCGGGACAGCCGTTTTATTATTATATTCATATACCTATATATTATTATATCTAATATAATGTAAGTACACCAACAGGACGATATATCAGTACAACAACAATAATAATAATAATAATAATATACGGTCACAATTATACGCCCGTCAACGTCCTCGTGGTGATTGTATATTACGCCTATATGTACATAGTATTATTATTGTTGTTATATCGTGCCAGCGTACCAGTGTAATTGTGTGTTGTATAAGATGTAACCATAATTCAATATTATTATTATTATTATTATTATTATTATTATTATTATTATAGCGTCGTATGATATTATATTACGCGAGTGTGTTCTATATAGTCGTATAATGCGGTACGATTTGTTTTAGATTCCGAGTGAAGCGAGGAATGTATTGGTTTTAAAGTGTGCGTGTGCGTGTGCGTGTGGTTTTTTCTTGTCTGTTAACGACGACACTTCCACCAGAAATCTCGCTCTCGTCAAAAACATTGTAGGAACTTTCTTGTAGAATTTTCGATCTAGTTGGTGCATCGAACAAATTGTTTATTGATTCTCTTTGTAATTGTCTAAATAAATGGGCAAAACTTAGAATTTTTCGTATAATTCTTTTTAAATTCTAGGTTACCTTGGAAACAAGAGAAAAAAATACGTTTAATAATACTTTGTTCAGAATCGTTTTTCGTTAGTGTCGTTTTATCGCTGCTTACAAATATAAATTAAAATCATTCTATATACATCATCCCTTTTAACTTTTCTTCTAAAACAGTTCCATACCTATCACTTATTAACAGTATCAGCTTTTTTTTCATTTAAGTTTCTTTTCTTATGTATATAAATAATATAATATAATATATGTATTATGTATACAAAACAAATAAATAATCGACAATATTGAGTACACATCGTCATTGCTGCGTATTTGTGTGATGCTTCCTTAAAATCCAACAAAAACAACATCGAAAGAGTGCCAAAAATTAAGTTTTTTTTTTTATATAAAATCTGGTCATTTCTTATCGAGCGTTTACATTTTGAATTGCCTATATTCAATATGTAAAAGATTTGTTCTGCATAAAAAAAAAAAAATATTTGCATTCTTGTAATCATTTTAATGGTGATAAATAACATGGCTAATATTGATTTTTTCATTTGTGGTAATAAAAATTAATTTAAATCACGTTTAAATAATAAAAAATTAAATGTATAATTTATGTATTAAAATTATTAAATGTTAAAATATTGTTAATCTGTTATATTATTGAAAATATAATTATTTGTGAATGGATATTTTTCCGTAATAAAGATGATGATGATTATTATTATTGTTATTGTTAAAAAGAAATAGCAAACAAAAGCATAATACATTATGATTAAAACTTCAAATTCCGAGCATTATGAATTTTTTTTTCACGGAAAATACTCCGATTTTTTCATGTCATACCTCAAAAGTGCGAAATTTCTGTTCGGTAATAATTTATTTGAACAATTTTTCATAACTTTCAGCAGTTCAGCAACACTCTAGGTTATTTTTTGTTGTTGTTTGATTTCACTGATTTCTGGATTATGATATTAGTAAAATGGAAAAAAACTATACTTATACTATTCTACTCAGAATTGTTTTCGTTTCCTTAAATTTATCGTTGCGTAACAGTATATAAAAATTAAATTACCATGTACATTCTACATTCCCAAATACCAATCTACAACAATGCAGACCTATCCGTGAGCGGTATCAGCTGTTTTTGTTGTTATTTTCCAAAGGCGGTGTAAAATGGGCGGCAAAATTATTGCAGTGGGCATACAGTGAAACATGACAGTTTTTTTTTTTCATTGCTTCGGTGTGTACTGTGCACCCAGCCATCTGTGTACCGGTACCGTATATATACTTAATACAATTTATGTCATAAACTCGTTAGGTCATGAAACACATTTTGGTATTAACTAGCTATTTTTTTGCCCAGCCAATACAAATATGCAAATATATAAAAATAAAAATGTTGATCATAATAATAATATTATACGACTCTACTCGAGAAAAAAGAAACATTATGATACTTTTAACGACTACAAAATAGAAAAAATGGTAAAACACATGTCCGAGAGAGGAGGAGCCGCTCTGTTTTCGGTTAACTTTAAACAATTTAGAGAAGTATAATATTGGTGAAGAGTTTGAGAACCACTAAAATAGTATGCTTTTATTATTGAAGATACAAGTGCAGGTTTGTGATGGTAAGTAGTTGGACAGTAATAATATATAATATGTTGCCCGGAGAAGATCCGAACTGGTCGCGTCGTCGTATCGCCACCCAGGAGGGGAAGCAAAAGGATAGACCGGCGTGTTGTGACTACGGCAGCATCAGTGGACAATTCCACCGGACGACGTCCTTGAATAATAACAGCAGAGTATAAAATAATATTATTTTATTATATACACAACCTGCGCATCCGCCGACGATGTGCGCGACAGGACAGGAGTGAACAAAAAAAAAAAAAACAAAATACGAGGACGGCGACAATGATATACTCTAAGTCATATAGATGAATATAACAAAGATGTACGCAAAAAAAAAAAAAACATGAAAAAACGCAAGACAAAACGAAATATCTTTAAATATCCTACAGGCAAAATTTAAATTTAACAATAATAGGCTACAATTAATATCTCCATTGTTATCTTCGATAATGTCTAAATGTTTTTGTCGTAACACTTTTGGAAAACAAAATGTATAGTTTTTAAAAAAGCTTTTTTCCGTCTCCGTCTCACGGACCCATTCAGCCGACTTATGTCTGCCAGCTTTTCGGGACGTGGCGAGTGTCATTCGTTGAGATTTTCGCGTAACAACTTTTACTGTATTTCTCATTTCGGCTATTCTACTGTAAATTTGTCATAATTTAATTCTTAGCTTTATATTCGGAGCAGAAATTTGCGCACAGCGTATGTGAGATATACACATATATGTAATCCGTAGCTTCACGTAGCCCTACGTTTGAATTTCAATTTATACGAAATCTTAACATTTTACAAAATGCATAGGTACTTGATTTTAAAATTAGCTAATAGCAAATAAATATTCTCGCAGCATAGATAAGTAATAATAATAGACTTTTTAAATCACACGAACCCTTTTCTCATAAAAAGTTGAAAATAAACCACTGGGCGTGTTAATATTGAAGTACACTAAAAAATACATGTGATACCTACCATAAATTATATAATACCCATTCAAAATTTAAAAAATAAATAAATTTCTCGTAAAATATTATCTATCCGATTTATTTTTATAGGTAGGTATTTGTGAGTTGTGCATGTGGAATTTACATAATATTTGCTTTATTTGCAAACCTACGAAAAACAAGTTATAGATACGTGAATATTATTAAAATATTATAATATCATCTACATGAACACAAAATCAAACAGTACATTTAAAATTAAGGAATAGGACGGTTCTGTAACTATTATTTTGTATAGTTACCCACTACCCACTAGAACAGAATTATAATATTTTATACTATCGTTATTTTATATGGCAAAATTCACACGCTAATAAAATTCCAGAACCGGATCTAAAAATTGAATTTGATTATTTTATCGTTTTAAATATGTCTTTTGTATACAGAATGTGTACTGTGTATGAATTGATAATAGTATTTTTAGGAAATTCGTTAAATCAATGACGCATTTTTAGAATTCTAAAAAAAAAAATGTATTAGTATATCAGACACAGC